GAGAGAGAGAGAGAGGAGGAGGAGGAGCAGGAGGAGGGGGAAATAGTAGTCCTTCGGGCTCTCGGTGCAACAACGGCACAGATAACGCAGCGTATACGGAAAATTATCTGCCACCTCCTATTTTACCACCGCCGCAGCAACCTACTGTTTATAGTCATCCTGAGGCCCATCCTGGGCCACCTAGTTTCTTTAGGGGACCGTGCCCTGTGCTGCCCATAATCGTAATTTAGTTTTAGCGTAAATGTGTGTTATCCGCTGAAATTTTACGTGTTTTAATTCGCGTATTGTGTTATATTCGCAGGTAAATCCGCTGAATAGCGTGGAAGAAATGGAACCAACTCCTCCAGTGATGTTACCTTCGATGCCGGTACATCAACATGTGCATCATCATATGTATCACTACGATCCGCATCAGCGGCCGTCGCAACGCTTGCATCACGTACATATTAGTTTCCATCCGCATATGGTACGTGTTTTTTCTCTTCTAAATATATCTTACATATGGTTTTCTTTGAACACATTGTATTTGACGTTTCTCGCTTTAACGTGCGTGTAGCAAGGATCTGGGACACACGACATTGTGTCGTTTCCCGGGACACATGACATTATGCCGTTGGGTTTGTCGGATTTTGTGTTGCAAGGAGCGCGTCACATGTCTGCTCGACTGGATAATTATATGCGCATTGTTGATTTGCGACGTATGGCTCACATGAGTTGTGGGGCTACGCAAGAATCTATTGAGAGCCACACATTCCCTCATAAATACAAACGGGTAAGGATAAAGAAGAAGATTTATAACGAAAATCTCCAATTTTATAGCATTCGTGTTACATAAGTAATCGGATTATAGGTAAAAAAGGTTGAAAACAGGGAAGATGCTATTGAGAAATGTACAATATGTTTGTCCGAATTTGAAGATTGCGAAAGTGTCAGGTAAGTCGTAACTGTAGCTTTATATATTTTTAATAAAATATGAATTTGTAATATTATATATATATTTTTTCATTTTTAGGAGGCTTCCATGTATGCATTTATTTCATATTGATTGTGTGGATCGATGGTTGTGCACCAATAAACGTTGTCCTATATGTCGAGTGGATATCGAGACTTTTCTTCATAAGGAACTCACTACTTCGGCATAGTTTAAGGTCTCATATCTGCCTCCTTTTGAAATGTATTCAGGTAACATCTATATGATATCAAATATTTCAAGATGGTTCATGCAGGAGAAAATGCGCTGGGTTACCGTTATTACTATGGATTAATGGTGTAAAAATATTATGGATAATCAAAAATAAAATAACGAACCATAAACTGAGTTCCTCAAGAAAACAAGAGAAGATTGTCACCGTTCAATCGTACGGTAGACGCAACTACGGTTGATTTTACGTATATTGATGATGATAAATACTGAAGACTAAATTTGTTTATGATACATTAATAGTTTATTCATACTTATTTTTTATCTTTGTTATACAATCAAATCCCGAAAATAATTCATCGAAACAGAGCGAATCTTGCTATTCTGAACTTTTTTCTTGCTCTTCGTCTTGTTTAATTGATACATGAAAATGTGTCAGAATGGAAACATTGCATGCACAATCAATTTAAAGTGAGAAAGCGAATCACATTTCTATTCTAACATAATTATATGGTCATATAGTTATATAAAATAAATGTGAAGTAATGGAAGAGAGGACAAGAGGAGATATTAAGTTCATAGAGTGTTGGTTGATCCAGAATAGGGAGTTATTCAGAATACAAGGATTAAGCTTAAAGGGATTTGATTGTAAGTGTATAAGATGTAAAATCTATATGCTATAATGCTACATAAGAACATCTAAAATAATTTATACGATTTTATGGAAATATTACATACCTTTGAGTACGTGCCTAAATATACGGATCTGGCAATTTGATTTGATTTTATGTCGATATAATATATTTCTGATTCATGATATAATATATACATAAATTATATGCGTTCAGTGTACTTTAACTTATGGGAGTATTGGAAATACATTTTTATTGTAAATGTTTGATTCATGATGAGACATGTAAATTTTTGTAATGCTTGTATTAAATTTGTGATCTTGGCAAAATTTTAGTATTACATGTTATATTGCTAGCAAGTTCAAAAACAACTTTGTTTTAATTTTGTCTCCGTGCATACGATATATACCTATAATATTAGGCCCCGATTTGATCCTATTATAATATTGAATAGATCCGCATGTTGAAAAGTTATTATTTACGATTGTTGCGGATTGCTATTGATTATCTTCTATGCGAGACTAAATGGTAGTGCGTTTTTTGCAAAATTATGCATCATTTGTTATATATGATTTCCCTTTACGAATATCATTCAAACTGCATAAAAATACAGCGTCAATTGAACTAGAAGCGAAATTGATATGACACAAGTTTTACATTCGAAGATATTTATTCATACTGAGTTTTTCCGATTATTATTACCGACGCTAAGCCAAAGACTTAGCCTAAGCTGTAAACGTAAATGAATATTTGATCCACAGATCGAACGATTTTAAACTAAAGGTAATTGCCATGGCACCTACGAAAACTACAAAAAGATCATTGTATTGTGTGTCAGGCCTTATATATATTGTCACTCTTGTATATACATTCTGTTATATAATAGAATCAAAAAAATACTACTGTTCTATAATAATCCGTGGTAAAGATATACGTTTTTACCACATTAGTACCTTCAGTATTCAAGTTGATAGTGTAACATGAATAATTTTATTTTGTTAATGTGCGATATAAAATATAATATATAATAGATATATTATATAAACATTAAAAAAAAAACATACAAACAATATCATACAAGATTTCCCGTTGCTGATTTGATATTAGGAAATGAATTGAAAGAAAGAGGGGGAGTATATATATATATTATTAACAATGAGGATTTACATTTCTGCTGAATCACATGAATTTTATCATCTGAACGTATAATAACGATCTCGTAAAATTGGTTTTATTATTGATGAACGATCGTCATTACGAAAACATTTTCACACTGCCATATACAAAAACTGTTCATGAAGATTTGTTTATTGCGGGACGAGTGGAGTATCTTACAGACGGTTGTTTTATTTTATACGACAAATTTTTTAACGGAAAGATCGACGTATATTGACAATTTAATTCAATTAAAGTATCGAAGAGGTGGTATGTAATGCGTCCTATTTCAAGGATCGTGAACAAAAAAAAAAGATATATTTGCCATATACAATCAAGTAGTTAGGTATAATTCGTCTCGACGATTTCTCACTTTGCAAGATAAGAACAAGTGGGTATATAGATATATATATATGTACCTTTATATTAATTATAATTATAAAATATATATATCGGGAAAACAATAATTTTATATACTTTCATAAGTGATAAGAATTTATACTGTACATAATAAAATAGGATGATAATGCAAAATTGTATTGACTTACTGTTGCAATACTAGAGTAAACGTTATACAAAATACATGACTCGTAAAAAAAAACGTATTACTTTGTTTTAATTAGAATTAGAATTATTTCATCCCACGTGTGCGCTATGCGATCTCATTTTCTGTGAATTAAGAGACACAGAAGAGGCGTGCTTGTATGTGCGACGAATCCCGTGACACAAAGTAGTATCCTTGAATAACGCGCTGCTGAACGGATACAAAAGATGCAGGATACCGCTTTTTTATCATCGATATTTCAACAAATCACTATAAACAATAGTACGCTTACGCGGAATTCAAATCGCGTGTTCCGCGATCGCCAAAGATGCGCGAAATCATTAAAACATTATTATGCGTCATATTCGTATATATAAGCTGCGTGTTTCGAGACTCAAGGTTGTTTCTGAAGCGTAAAATCCCATAAATTTAGAACGAGATCCAATCGCCTGAACTGGTATTGGAATGGTAATGAGATGTCATACATGATCAAGAAAAAGCTTTTCTTCTCAGAGTCTGGCGACTTAATATTATACGATATTCCCCGATGACTCATCATTGATAATCTCACGGGATTTTTACAGCTATTCCACGATCTCGATTTTTCTGTAAACAGTTCTCGATCGCGCGCTTGCATATGCAAGATAAGCTTTATCTTATTGTCCGAGATATAGTTATTGAAATCGCTGTTAAAATAATTATTGAAATTGTTATTAAAATGGTTTTATATAGTAATATAAAATCTTATAAACTCATTCGCATTCTGATTGATTTTGTGGATTTAAAAATGCATTTAAGTGTATCAAGAGTGCGTTTAAAAATAGTTTTTAAAGTAGTCAAAATATAATTTATGGTATGCAAAAATTTAAAACGATTTTAAATGACGTGAGCACGAGAGAATAAATATTATATTATTTTGATTTTATATTGAAACAATCGACATATTTCTTAATTTTTTCTGATCGTCCAATACGCAAGTACGTTCCGGCAGCTTTTGGACATCTCATATATTCGTGTGAATATATAATATCTCTTGAAAACCTCTCGTTAAAACTCGCATACAATTAAATCCCGGTCTAACATATAACGACCACTGGCCAGTTACCGTCCGTTATAAAAAGAATGCGCCAGAGGGAAGTAATTCAGTAGTCGCCGTGCGACGTTCGTCGTCACTTGTTGTTTCTCATTGATCTATCAATTGCCAACATCTTCGCTATCTTCTTTTTACCAAAAGTGCGAAAGAATCACGATCGTGTGTGCGACGTTTGACAGCAATACGTTAATCAGTGAGTAATGATTAAATAATATTTAGTCTCTGTAGGAAAACAGAAATAATAATTTCGGTGAGTAAAATTTTTAATATATATGATAAATCCTTGTTTGGATTTTTCTTATATTAAAATTTTTAACATTGTGATTCAATTATTTTTCACGAACAAAATTTTAAGGCACTGTTATATCAATTTTAATCCTAATTATTACGAACTGTTCTTACGAAACTGTCATACGAGATGTATGTGTTAAACAAAAATCTCAATACTCTCTTTAAAACTGCCGAAGCTGCTCTACGTGCGCAAAAAAAAATGTTTAATAATGTTAAGAAGATAAAAATACTATAGGCTTTGTGATCGATCTATATACTTGCTACATTTAATTGTTATATTTGACTCTGATTATTTTTCATATTACATTGTCACAATAATTACATTTCTTAATATTATTATATATAATTAACAGGATATAATACTTTATTATCAAGTAATCAATCAAGTTTGTGCGGTTTTTCGCTGAAGTTTATCATCTGTAAAACCGCTGATAATACCAGAGTTACCTCTGATAATGTACACTATAATAAGAAAAAGAGTATTTTTGGTGAACATAAAAGAGAAAATTTGTGACATTGTTTTCTAAGTGAGATACTGTATTTTTTTAAATTACATAATGTTTCTGTGATATGTATATTTATATACAGACTAAAAATATTCGAAGTAAATGATCGAAAAATGTTTCTATGAATATACTTATATTATGCATTAGAAGCATTAGATTAATCATGCTCATTTACGCAATTGTGTTTGATTGAATTGGGCTCTAAATTGTTCATTAAATCAATATAAATCTGATATTTTTAAAAAGTATATAATATTTCTGCATTAATTAAAAAAAATTTATTGATTGATTACTAACCTTCGTACGGTGTATCTTTGACCTATTGAATAATCATTCTTATGTTTTTTAACGAATTTACGACAAAAATTTACAAAACTTTAAATATTAATATTTATTAAATTTAGATAGAAAAATATAACATCAATATATATTACAAACAGTTCAATTAAATAAGAAAATACCTATGTAACTTAAAATTTTAAGATTACAATTAAAATTTGAACTACCGATATATTTTTGTATACAAAGTTTTAGAAAAATAATAAATAATAATAATATATACAAAAATAATAATTTGCCAATTTTATAGACTTATATATATATATATATATGGCATTTTAAACTTATATATATAGACTTATATATATATTTCTTCGCGTGATGTCATTTCATTGAATTCAGAAATTTTTTACTCTGTAATTAATTTTGACCGTGAAAGAAATCGCGGGGATTCCACTAACAATTGTTGTCCACCAAGTTGAAAACAGTTAATATCACAATCATCTATTATGGGTAACTCGCTCAATGTCGCGGTTACCGAAGCAGAACTTATCTTCACGCTAACCGGTATAGTAGAAGCATTAAAATCTCCACGCACGTGCTACGTCGCGGTTCACCGAAACTTTTATTTATAGCCCTATAATTGTTTTTATATATCTTTTGATTAATAGTCTAACAGTCTTAAGATCTGAACAAAAATTGTTTTCAATATTTTAGCAAATTGAAGATCAATGACTTTCTTTATTCCATAAAATCAATTAGTAGACATTTATTTTATTCTTTTATTTTATTCTACATATTCTCCACTTCATGATTTTTTTTGTTGCAAAATACGGAAATGCGAAATAAGCGTGCAAGATAAAAATCTGCAAAGTAATATCATAAATCAATGACTTGTACGTTTCTCAAGTATTTGCTTCTCAATAGTCTGTTATTATACATATGTTTAATGCATCTCGATGTTATACTAAAAAATATCTTTAAAGGTAATATCTTTGCAAGTTGGATATGTCTTCCGATGAAAACATCTAGTTATCAAATAGTTTATACAAATATCTCTTCTATGTTTCTCGAAACTTTTCATAAATGTTATCTATCTCATCGGAAAGCGTGGAAAATAAATTTGTCGCGCTTTTTCACTCTATCGTGACTCTCAATCTATCGACTTAAGAGAACATATTAAGAAAACTTATCAATGTTCATTTAAAAAAAAAATAATAAGTAAGACATAAACTTTGAATATGCTTGAAAAGTGTTAAATTGCAACCATTAAAAAAACAAACAGAGCTTATCTGAATCATAAATCTGACATCTACGTCTCGCACTGAACATTAATGTGTGTGGTATATATATTTTTTGTAAAGAACAATGATTACAAAACTAAAATAAGATTGACGCAGATAACTCATTAATATTGCATGTGTGTATGTGTGAGATATTTACGTATAGTCATATAACATGAATGATTACGGCATCATGCAATATTTAACTCATAAGCGAAGAGAAGTACACAAGTCTTTCGTTTAGTCGGGTGTATATCAAATTAATGCGATTTTTTTCTATTACGCAATAATATAATACCGTTGATGACGTTGATGACTCTTGAGAGCAATTTGAATTTTCGTGCAGTATTTTCTTATGAGACACGCTAATTAATTAATCTATAGTTTTGCAATAACTACGTAAATATTTAAAAAATACAAAAAGTTATTTAAAAGAGTCTGAAAAATTGAAAAAAGCTTCTTTGCCGTGCTGAATACAGGAATAATGTGATGTACTTTTCTTATATTGCAGAATAAACACGTGATTCAAAATGTACTCCATCCTATCCGTCAGTTTGCTGTACGCTTTAATAACATTGACTTACTGCCAAGGTATGCATTTTTCAGATATTACTATTTCGTGTAACGAAATAATACGTCTACAAATTCCATTACCATCTCGTCATAAATTTTATTCTTTTATTTGTGTATGTGTATTTAGCATATAATAGCGAATACGCACAATTATTTCGGCATTCAATAAAAAATCCAATACATTTATTTCTGTGGTATTAAAAGTTTAGATTCTTTTATACAATTATTTTCTATAATAATATAATTTTCAGGAGAAAACTTTGTACGTAACAATATAATGCAAATTACATAAACAAGTTAATTTTCTCATATTGTAAATGTTTGAAAAATTTTTGAAAAATTGACGTTGTTATAAAATGATCTATCTAACTGTGACAGATCGTGCAATTTTATATAAATTACTCCATTAGTTTTACGTCGTGCAATTTACTAAGAAATTATTGTAACAAGTAATGACGTAAAATCATACGAACACGGCCAAGGTTTTAAGTCAAGTGAACGAGAGTCTCACGGCTCTCACCATCAAACTGACCATCAATGAAGGTCAGCTGAAGGTCTAGCTTATTGCGACATTTTGCATCTTCTTCTCGGTCATCTGATACTTCTGAGAAAAGATGATATCAATACAAGTTAAGAAAATCGAGATTACTATCGAGATGCGATTCAAATTAGTTTAGAATTAATGCACTGCAGATTTCAAGAAAAAAAAATAAAGCTTAACGATTCAAATTAGTTTAGAATTAATGCACTGATGCAGATTTCAAGAAAAAAAAATAAAACTTAAGTGTTTTTAAAATTTTTAAATAAAAATTTGTTTATATTATTAAAATAAAGAGTCTCATAATTCACACAATTATTTTTTTTTTAATTAAAATTTAATCAATTACAAAATTGCAACTGACAAAAAACTTTATAATATTATAGTGTAAATATTATACTTTATCGAATAAAATAAACGCGAGATAAGAATTTGTAAATTTCATAAATTAAATGATCAAGTGTTATCAAGCATGATGCAAAAAATTAATGAGCAATTATAACAGTTATCACGATTTCTTAACGCTGATATCATTTACATGTTCTTTTAGTATAATTAAATTAGCAATTTGTCGGATGTGGTCACGATTAGTGTGACCGATTCTTGAAAGTCATTAGAAATAAAAAGTTGTTACACAATTTATCGTTAGTACGATAGACTATTCCGTTTTATATAGTAAACAATGATGCAAACGCTGCAGATATAAAAAATAGAAGTCATAATTATGCAATATGCAACGTGCAAATTAAGTAGAATTTTTTTTTAACTCCGAAGATACGTCTAATTTAAAAAAGATAACGTATTCGTAAAAATAAAGAAGACTGGAATTTATTAGATAAAATATCTTTCTATAGTAATATAAGAATTCGTGCAAGTCTTAGTGTTAGTATTTTTCATTATGTGTAAACATCTGATAGTGGATTCATATCGTGTGTCAGCAAATATCTATTTAGCATTAATTTATACGTCAATTTTCACATCACGTCACGCTTGTCTTAGAATTACGTTCCACTGTATACAACTTGATAAGTCACGGTACTTTTCGGAATACTTAGAACTATTAATTATTGGATATTAAGAAACTTGATTTAGCAATGCGATGAATATTACAACTTCTTCGCGGAACGCACGTTGTATTTATATATTGCGCTTAATAGCATTTTAATAACCGGAAAATGCAGCTAAATGCTTAGTGCATACTTGTTAACTGCGTAACATCTTGCATTGTAAACAATTGACCGATGTTATTACGATTGATAACTTTTGTTGACAAACCATCATTTTTATAATTACTATTGTTCTATTAAATTTGTATCTGGATATTCTATTTAATTTGTATTTGGAGATAAAATGAGAGCAATTTTATATATATAATTAGAAATTATTTGCAAGAAACGCAGATCTACAAATTAACGATTGTGTGGATTTTCTATTAGTAAAATTATTATGATGCTTTTTGAAACTTTTGAACTTTACGCTATATTAAAATTTATAGCTATTAAATCTAAGTTTCTTTATTACAGGACCATGTCAAAATCCGCAAGGCCAGCCTGGCGCGTGCATCAATATCAGGACATGTCCGCAGTTACTCAATCTTCTACAAACAAACTCTCAAAACCCAGCAGTAGGTAATTTTCTGCGCTCTTCCGTTTGCGGCTTCGAAGGTAGAGATCCTATGGTTTGCTGTCCATTCGGCACAAACGATGGAAATACAGGAAATACGGGTAACGACTTGGATGCTGATCGAGATCGTGTTACGAATACTGCGTATGGTCCTTTGTATCCGCCGGAATGCGGATATAGTAATCTCACGCTACGCAGAGTCGTTGGTGGCGAACCAGCAACGTTAGGTACGAATAATTTTTATAAAATTGATATTTCAACACAATATTTAATTATCAAACCATTTTGATAAATATTTTTTAAAATTTATCCTAGTTTATTGTAAAAATTTGTAAATCTTTTTAAAACACTTAAATAAACTTTGTAGAGATTCTTTAGCCAATTTAAAATTCATTTTTTTTACGAAAATATCTATTTGCATTACAAACGATTGCAAATAATAAGCTCTTTTTGCGAAATAATTTTGAAAGATAAACATGAATAATTTAATCTGCATTTGTATACATTTTCGAATAAACTTTACTTTAACAAAATGTTAAAATTGATTATCTAATTATATTAAGACGTTGACATAGTATTCTGACGTTAGATATATAGGGAAAAAATTATTAAGTACAGTGTAGATAATTCTTAGCATTATTTATGAATGCTGAATATAATGATAATGATTGACGATTAATGTTGCAGGTGCTTGGCCTTGGATCACCGCTCTCGGATACAGAAACTCGAGAAATCCTAACGTTCCGCGATGGCTTTGCGGCGGTGCTCTCATTTCTAGTCGTCACGTACTTACCGCCGCACACTGCGTACACGGACGACAAGATTTGTACAAAGTGCGTATTGGCGATTTGGATCTTAACAACGACTTCGACGGAGCAACTCCGTTTGAGGACTTTATCGAAAGGATAACTATACATCCCGCTTACAATCCCACGTCCTACACGAACGATGTAGCAGTCTTGAAAACGGTTCGAGAGGTGCCTTTTACATGTAAGTTTTCCTGTTCTGCTAATATATGCATTTGATTATGTAATCGTTTCTATAACTGAAGAGATAAAAAGCGAAAATTTCTTTCATGAATTCGGCGAAATCAAAATTACGAAACAGGTTTATTGGTAAAAAAAATTTCATTGAAATAATATAAAAAGTAATACTTAAACTTTATCGATTGCTATATAATCAATTTTTTAAAATTAATTATATAATTGCTAATTAATTTTTTCAAGTTTTGTTTTTTATATTTTTAAATCTCACGTCAATCTTATGCGATAAAAATTATTTCGCATCGAGAATAATTATAAAGATATGAGTTGTATACAAATTTTTATTTTTTTTTTAACTAGCAAGTAAAAATTTTTTATAAATAGGTAAAAATAAATAGACAGATATCTAGTTTATGAAATTGTGATAAAATCTACGAAATTAAATTATATATTGCTTTTAAAATTATTCAATTTTCTTTTTATTGTCACTGCACACGATAAGTTGATATGCTTTTATTAACTTTCAGCAATTCTTCATCCCATTTGTCTTCCCGTGGACGATTTTAATAGAAACAGAATTTTAGATAATTCATATCCTTTTATTGCTGGATGGGGATCCGTTTATTTCCGTAAGTAATACAAAAATATGATAATATATGATAATAAAAAAAATATGATAATATATCATATTTTTAATTATAATATGATATATAATTGCGTAATAATCAATTACGCCAAAAAGTGTTAGTTATCTATTAATATCTTTGTTTTTCAGATGGACCTTCAAGCAGCCAGCTCTTGCAAACACAAATTCCTGTACGTACAGAACAAGAATGCAAAGCAGCCTTTCGGGACTTTAAGACTACTATAATAGATAACCGCGTTGTGTGCGCTGGGTACGCCCGAGGTGGAAAAGACGCTTGCCAGGTAAAAAATAATTGTGAAAATTATGATAAAAAATAAAAAGTTTCTAAATTGTTTTATACTATTATGTAAAATTTAATCAGTAAAGTCTAATGAATCGAATTTGTGTATTGCATTTTCTAATCAACTGAGTCCGTAATCTTGAAGATTAATTGCATTCCAAATTTGAGTCATTTTAAATTAATTTTTTCATCTTTTTAATTATTTAGTAGAAAAAAATCATCAATTTTTGAAATAAATATTTTATGTCAAAACTTTTTATTTATAATGCAAAATATTTTTCAGGGTGACAGTGGTGGACCTTTGATGTCTCCCAATCCTAAAGATACCAAAGTGTATTATATTATTGGAGTAGTTTCGTATGGCTACAGATGCGCTGAACCAGGTTTTCCAGGTGTATATTCGAGGGTCACAAGTTTCCTCGATTTTATCACGAGCCAATTGGTATAAATCTTTCGTGAGAACCTTTCAGCTTTCAATTTTTCATATAGATCACAAAAACTGCCATATCTTACAAAATACACTGCTATATAATAAAAACCATATTGCAATTTTTATCTTCGTCCTACGAATAAATATATTACTCACAGAAAAGTTGCTCTGCCGTCTGAAACTCCTCCCGAGCCTGCTTCTCTTTTCAGTGCTCTTCAAAGTATTCACACGCGTTCGCGACGCGAATACGAAAATCGCACAGCACTTTAAACGGCACTCCCGACGCGTGTTTTATTGCGAAATTACGGCGGAGTGATATTACAACGAGATCACATGATATTTTAGACGACACTATCAACACGTATTTTGTATATTAAGATAAAAGTAAAACTCGAATATTGCTCGCATGGAATACGCGTTCGACACTCTGCCATGTACGCAACAGATAACGATGGAAAAGAGGAAGGTGGAAAACTGTGAGTAATAAGTTAGAAATACGCGATTTAATCGATGTACAAGGCGAAATTTATGTTACCTACGAGAGGGAAAAGTAGTTTAGATGTAGCATAAACGCGACACAAACGACGTACAAGTTAACTACGCGATTTTTTATTTCTCTTTGCTATCGTTGATTGTCGTCATGAATGTCAAACGTGCAATTATTTTATTTCAGACTACGATATAAAAATTGTAAGTGGTTAAATTACTATTTAAATAAATGGTTTCATTTGTTAAAAATGTACAACTGTCTCTACTGTGGGTATATAATGAAATAGATCTTGTTTGATATCGAAGAAAAAGTTTAATATATTAGAATGAAATGTTACAGATGTATATTTGTATTAGACATTTATTAATACAGAATAGAGCTTATCCTGTATACTATAATATTACGTAGGCGTGTAACAAATTTAATAATTTTATTAACAAAAAATATGAGAATATAACAAGCACGTAATGGAGTACAACTTCACCGTAAGCTTCGCTTTATGATATATCTTTTTCCCTCATTTTATTCAGCGATAAGAACGCACTGCACTCAAGTAGACTTTTATAAATAAATATCATCTTTTGTTAGCAGCAATAGATATTAAAAAAAAATCAAAGCACCATTATTATATACCGCACTGCGTTTTTACAACGTTACAATAGTTGTATCGCGATACTTCCATCGCTTACATTCTTTTTACCGAATAGCTTACCAAATATTTTTTTTGCACTGTTATATACATAACATATACGATGTTCATTCCACGCATAATTATTATTTAACAAATCGATTTGATACACAGCGGGAATCACAGTGATATGTGTGGTACATTATAGATTATCGATTATTTCTTCGTCATTCCCAAACACACTTTTCTTTGAAACGGTTCTACAATCGATTGTACTCCGTTAATTATTTCAGATACTGGTTAGAAACATATAACTAAAAAAAGTAATTTCTACGACAAATAAAATTTAGATTTAGAACACTAAATTATTATCATTTTACTACTTCATAAAAATAGAAAACACTTTTCAGACGCTCAAAATCGAGCATTTTTTAAATGATTAAAACTCAGTAACGAATTATCGCAGGCAAAAAATTAAAAAAGCATTTTAAAGCTTGAAGTTTCTATCTTTACATGCTTTACTGTTTTTTTAAAATACTTTATCTTTACATTTCTAAGCTTAAAAAAGGAACATATTGTTTTGTTCTTAAAATTACGTACTCAACCTATTCAAAACCCTGCAGCGCGTTAAAAAAATTCTTCTCGCAAAATTTATAACAAGTGTCAAAAACTACAAAATACGTTTTTTCAAATTTTCTTAGAATTTTTTTGATCGAGTTACACGACTTTGAAGCTTAAAAGGCGTATTTTTTACGCTAATGCCGATGGTAAACGCTATTTTTCATGAAAGGGTTTAAAACCAAGCGTTTGAGCGTCTGAAAAGTGTTCCTTATTTTCTGTGGAGTACATAAGAATATAAAGACAAACGTATAAACAATATTTGTCAAAAGATTAATAATAGATAGATTTTTTATCATGGTTTTATATCTTACATTATACTGGTGGAAAGTAAATATCTTTTTATCACTAACAATAAGATTTCTGCGATCTACATCGATATAAATAAAACACTGGGATATGTAACGAAAAGTGTATGTAATTCGATTATCCATCTCTTTCTAAGGTTCGCGTAATTGCCAAGAGGATATATCAAATAACTAGCTTCAAGTAATTATGCTTGATGTGCCAACCTTAGTTCGCCGCTCATTTTTATTAAAAAAAATTATAAATAATAAGTAATATACATATAAATCTTTTGCAAATAAAGGGCTCAACATCGCAAGAGACACATTAGCTTCTTTTCTGATTTACTGAATATATTTATAAATATTATATATTATCTATCTTATAATTGTTATTAAGAATAGGAAAAAAATTCATAAAAAACAATTCTACAAACGAAAAAACCTAACACTTTATACCTAATTTCCTATAAAAATAATCAACAGGAATGTGATTAATGCTTTAACAGTGGCGGTGTCGAAATCTTATTTCGTGATAGATTTGTTAAAATAATAAAGTAATCATTTCCCATTTTTCTATATCAACGCTATACTACATCGCGAGGGCGAACCGGCTAAAAACAAAACTTATGGGTCACTACAGATTTCGAAAACTTTTCTTATTCTATTCTGCCGTTACTACACGTGAAAGAGTCCGAAGAGTTTTGGAAAGCTGCGAGCTTTGGTGGTCCTGACATATTTATGGCATGTATAATACGGTGTGTGCGAAGACGCGTTTCAATTGATGTATTTCTCCATCTGGTACATATCGACTAGCAGGCGCGAGATCGGTATTTCCCCGATAGTTTCGTGAAAGAACAAACGCTCAACGGTCTTGGAGGAGACGCACCTTAAGTATCCGACCAGAATCATCAGCCTGCCAATTCTGCCCGGTTGCTGCGGATACCGCGATCTCGTGTAATCCACTAAAATACGCTGCGCCTGATCCTGCAGTATCTCAATAGGCTGGACCGCGTGTAGACCCACTGTCTCTGCGTTTTTACAAAGAGAGGAACATATACGGTATTTGTCCTTTGATGCGGCAGGTTTAATCAAGGCAGTGCAGAAATAAATCAATATTTAAAAATAATGCAATTAATAACCATTATAATTCAATAATTTTATATTGTATAATAAAAAATAATGATGACAACACTATTATAGAAATTAAATAATTCTTACTATGAATAGGTTTCTCATATCACAAGGTTTATCGTTGAAAAATAATTCATGTGTTGCATTTTCAGTACAATTCGCTTATATTTAACAATATTCTTTACCTGGCGTAAACAAAGCCACCGCCTTCATGCAGCCGCACTCGCCGAAATCGGGGGATAGTTGTCTAAATCGACATATTATAGCCTAGAATATAAAAGAATATTCCGTTGAATCACAAGTTCACTCTCTAAAAAACATCTGAAGAAAAATGAAAGCAAATATTAAGTACATTAAGTATATTTTAATTTTAAGTATATTAATTTTTCGATGCCGAGGAAAGCTATGTTAAAAAATTCACAGCAATTATCACGATTTATTATTAAAAGATAAAACTGATAAACCTGAATAAGAACGAGCTCTTGATTCGTCGGATTGTCATCCGAGGGAAGTCTACCGCGCACTTGCTCGTCCTCGAGGAGCGCAGTGATGTCCCAGGAAATGGACCACTGCGCCAAATGCAGAAGAAACAGTTGCGTCCAGGATCGTTCCAACAGTAACAGCTGGTCGTCCTTTGATATCGTTTGGAAAGGTGGTAGACATCGCACCCATCTGACAGCCATGAACAACAGGCGGGCCGTTGTTTCCTGCGTTATCAACATCCGCGTAATAAACGGTGGATGCTGTTGATTGAAATAAAAAGGAACAAAGTAACACAGTCGCTACACTTGAAAACGCTGGAGGTTACCTGCAGCATCTCCCAGGTCGGACTGAAACTCTGCACGGTGCCTGTCGGACTCTGACTCGTTTCCGTCTCCATCTGCTCCATGGGATATTCCGACGTGGGTTGCAATCGCGCGTTCCAAACCAATTCCTTGTGATAAAACAAAGTGATTTTATTTCGAATTAAATTTTACTCTTGACTTAAGACGCACAATTTTCAATGAAAAATGCGAAGTAATGAAGCAGCAAATATATAAATAAGCAGTAAACAGTAAAATGCAAAATAGATGTATACCAATAAATAATAAATAAATATATGTAGGGACTTGGTAAAAACGACAGCGAAATAACTAATAAAAGTATAAGTATATTTGGGAATAATTACAAGGATGTGTTCACTAGCCGACGGACAAACGAGAACTCTGTCTCCGTGGCTCGCATCGGCGGTCAGCCTCATGCTTTTCGCTAAGTCAATTAGCTCGTCTTTCGTATCGAGAGGCGTTTATTTTATCAACTGCCTTATATCGGCTAATGTTTTGAAACGCCGATGTCTCGCTCGATCTAACCGTCTCGTTTTCTAACATTCGCAAATGTAATATTTTACTTCTACATATATGCTTGTTTTTCTGATCCTAATAAATGCGATTCTAAAGAATATAATATTGCGTTTTCTCGGTAATAAGAATAAAAAAATAGTTTTAGATTTTAATAATTATTGATAAATTAATTACTTGCAAGTCTCAAGCTATCATTCGTTTATTTGATTCTGTTATTTTAATTTCTTTAATCTTGATTTTTTAAAGTAATATTCGTGTAGCATAAAGCAGTTGAACACATAAATATTAATTGATACCTTTTCGAAACAAGCACGTCACAAAATATTATTTTCGTTTTGTAGAAAACTGATGTTAATAATGTTGCGACTGCGACCGCCAAAGGAGCTATGTTTGCCATCAGCTGTGCCGCGATCGATGCTGAACCGTGCGAAAATCGATAATGAACAAATAAAGTAGTATTGCGTGGAGAAGCTTAATTGCGCTTAATAATAAATAAGCGAAGAATTGAGAGTCTAGCACGAGCTTCAACGTTGTGAAGACGCGCATCAGCGTGTTGCAATCAGCGAAGATTCTTGATAGAGATTTTCTTTATTTTATATTATGTTGATATGTTCTGTGCTACATTAAACGTGCTTAATTTTTCTAAAAATCGTCTTTCTCTTTTGTGAACGGATTTTCGCCTGTGAAAATAGCGGGAGCCGTTGACGCGAGCATCGCAATAATATCTCCGCGTGTAATTTGCTCGTCATTTAAACCGCGTTGGAAGAACCGAGCCGTGTTTATTAAGTTTGCAGGAACGGAAGGCGAGGGCGAGGGCAAATTAAGCTGAATTACTTACCTGACATTCCTCGGCGGACATTAATATCTGCAGGAGGGGAGGCTGCGGCGCTAGGGAGACGGTCGTGGCCGCCTGATAGAGGGTCGTGGTCGTGCGAGGGTGCGGTAGAACCAGCGGCACTGGGGATGGTGATTCCTCCGGCGGTTTCTGTACCAGCGCCATCGGTCGTGGGTAAGGCGTGAATCTTTGGTCGCATCTTAACCTTCTACAGTAATAAGCCTTAACTACTTCACGAAGAGTCTGCGTCGTTTTACATAATTCTATCGCCGCCGCTGGCTACACGCGATACCTCGCTACTGTCACATTGCGGCTTAAATTTTACGGCGAAATTGAAGTTCATTTTCAATTCCATAATTTTTTAATCCCTAATTTGTTTCTTTATATCTGCCGTTACATGTGACAGTAAACAGGATACCCCGTGTGTACGGTACATGCGCGCTGTTTTTCAAACAATGAAGAAGTGAATTTTTTGTACTAACAAACCAGAGTAATCAAGTTGGTTTTTCTAGTATTAAATATGAATAATTAATGTAAGAATTCAAAAAATTCCTTATTTTTGTAATTTTGTCTATTATCTGATCGATAACTTTTTATAATTATTTGATCTTTTATCGGTACAATTAATAAGACAAAAATACTTTAATTTAAGACAGTTAAACAAACGTTACACACCTGTGCGGTGACAAGACGTAGGGAGGAGCGAGTGCTGGTCTTAATCGATCATTATGCATTGGGGTCGCAGAATGGGGGGATAGCTGCGTAACAATCGGTGATTGTTGCTGATGTTGCTTCTCCGAGATAATCGCATGTGGTTTCGGTTTCCTCGGTCCGCGCTCATGTTGTACTGCTAAACATCAGTTATGACGTATTTATATTATTTTTGGCGTCAGACACCTTTCCTTGCAATTGCATCATTTCAATTAAATATAAAATATTTTAAACACTACAATCTATGAATACATATGTTACATCATTTTTTTATTGTTTAAAACACGCTAGTGTGAAATTGTTCCGAATTTCTCTCGCAGCAAAAGCGAGGCTATCTAATTAATGTTTCTCGAAAATGTGAATAGTGATGTAAAAATAAGCGCTCTCCCTACATTCTTTCCGAAGCTTAATGAAAAATATCTTTATGCACACGAACGACGTACCCCTCGGTCGCCCGTGATCGAAAGTCTGTATCTAGGACCGCCTATCAATAATATCGGCGATGGACTTAACGGTGGGAGCGAAAAAGTGGGCGCAGGTTGCGCGGAATTGAATTCGGGGTATAACGCGCGTTGTAGGTCGTTCGAGATGTACGAGAGCTGTATATCCCATGACCCGGTGAGGGGGAGGGGCGAACAAGAGGTCGAGAGGGAAGAGAAGGGGAGGGGGAGCGAAACGCGGATGAAAGAGGGTGGTGTAGATCGGATGTGGTGGCTGGCCGGGCGTCAGCTTCCACAGAGCTCGATCTTTCGAGCGTGGCTGCAAACCCGGAGTGGGCGAGAGAGAGAGAGAGAGAGAGAGAGAGAGAGAGAGAGAGAGAGAGAGAGAGAGAGAGAGAGAGAGAGAGAGAGGGGGGGGGGGGGGGG